GTGTGTGTGTGTGTGTGTGTGTATGGTTTCCAAGGAGCAGCTGGTGACCTGGAACCACTGACCTTGCAGTTCAAACTGACTGCAGTCTAGCGCGTTAACCCACAGCACCAGTAGAGGATGTTAATGTTCTTTTTCAAAAGGATCTTCTTATTTCAAGGTTTAAATATTTTAATAAAACTTCTCTTTTTACATTAAAAAAAACTATTAGTATGATTTACTTGTATACCTGCCAGAGGCAGAATAGTGAGTTCATATCGACTGATTGATTTTAGTTATACTACCTGGAATGTGAAGAATATCCTTCCTTACTTAATAAGTAGCAGGTCTTTACTTCTCAAAAGATCTTTGCTGTCTTTGATCACAACCCCATTCTACTTACACGCTTTATTCCTCAGAGTAGTGAAAAAGACAAAAGACTAGGAATCAGACAGAACTTGGTTCAAATCCCACCCCTGGTATAATCTGAGTCTGACTTTTGGCATCTGCAAGGTAGGGTAATGCTATCTTTATAGAATAGTATGAAAATTAAATAAGTTAGACAAAATGCCTAGCGCATGGTACATGTGTGGCAAGCAGCAATCATGATTGCTGAACTGACCGTCTGTGTAATGTATGTGGCTGTTTTCCGTAGGAATGGTTAGATTCACAGAACTCAAGTCAGCTGCTCAGAATTCCAAACCCATAAAGAGCCCCACGGTCGTGCCAGATGACATCATCACCCAGCGTGATGATTCTGAGGGGCGGGCTGAGGAGGAGGATCCTGAGGAGCCTGAGGATGGTGCCGGAGAGCCCAGTGAGGCCGGGGTCAGAGAAACTCGACCACGGAGGCGGAAGCCAGTCAGACCGCTTGAAATGGCGGAGCCCCAAGAGAAGTTCAGAGCAAAGAGGCAGAAGGACTTTGATATATTAGAGCAAAATGAATCCAGTGATGAGGAGAGCCAGAAAAAAGAGAGAATTCGTGCTGCTGAGGAGCCATGGACTCAGAATCAACAGAAACTTCTGGAATTAGCATTGCAGCAGTACCCAAAAGGATCTTCTGACCGATGGGACAAAATAGCCAAATGTGTCCCGTCAAAGAGTAAGGTAGGTGACAAGAGAAAAAAAGAGGCCTGCACTGGTTTTAGAATACCACTGAAGTGGTTGCAGCCTGTACGACCTATTTTTTCTTTCATCTTACTAGTATATTCTGTCTGTAACTGTTTACATGGATTCATAATTACCAATTCCCTTCCAGTGTATTTCTCCCTGTAGCATGTGAATGTATGCACTCAGTAGATAAGTGTGTGTAAATGCTTATAGTCACTGTAAACGCCAGCTGATTTCCCTCAGAGATCATTCCGCTTGTAGAGCACAGACTTCGCTCACAATGACCCAGCCAGCTTGCTTGAGCATTCACACAGGTGGGGAGGGTTTTCATAAAATCATAAGCATCTCTAGTTTAGTAACCAGCCTTTAACGATGGGGCGATGTGTGGTAGACCATGCTTTTAAGACTCTTCAGTTCTGTGACGTAGTTCGCTTTCATTCCTAGGCACTCCAAAGGCTCTGTCAAGGGCAGTATTTTTAGTTGTGGAGTCACTTGAGACTGACATTTCTGATTCAGCTTATCCTCTAAACTTGATGGCTTAGAATTGGCTTTTCTCCAAGTATACAACTCTTGGTATCCACTACAGCGAATCTTCATATAGTTCTCAAGTGAAAACTCCCAAGAAGTGGAAAGATGGGGCTCCCTCCCTAGTCTCCAATGTTCTTGGCCTTGTGATCTGATATAGTGGAGCTGTAGAGCTTTTGGGGGTGATCTTCAACTCAGGCCGTTCTTGACACAGCCTCATGGAACCTGAGGCATCAGGGACACTGAAAAATCAGAACCACCCATCTCTTCCACTCACTGTATCTCTGGGCATACTGATGTTCCTTTACATTCTTAACAATCACCTCCTTTAAAATGATGAAGTTGAGTTCGTCGGGGAGAAACAGACCACTAGCAGTTGATCTGTGTGGGGAGCACAGATTCTCTTAGCCTTTCCAAGTGGAATGTCAGAAGTCATTGTCTCCCTTGGATGTCCTAGCATCTATCAGGACCCAGGCATCTACATGTGTACGCTGGATCAACACTGATAGCTGGAGCTGGATTCCTAAGGACAGAACACCAGAAATTCCTTGCCTTGAGGCTGGGGAACCTTTCTGTTTCCAGGCAGCAATGAGCAATCTATATTACCCCTGCAGGTGTTCCCCCTAAGCTTTGACTTGACTCACCTGCCAGGGCCTTTGGGTTAAAGGACATGAGGAGCAGGGGTTTCCTGGCAGGTGAGCTCAGCGCACAGGCTGTCCCTCCAGTATCTCATGTGCTGGTTGTTGTTGTTAAGTGCCATCAAGTCAGTTCTGACTCAGAGTGATCCTTTGTAGGTTTTCCTAGGAGCCCATGTGTAGTGAATGCACAGAAGACCTCTTCATTAGCACGGGCCCAAAGGAGCCTTATGGCAAGAAGAGCCTGAGAGAAGCTAACTGACTGGTACACACACTGTTTTCACCTCTTTGTTTTCCTTCCTGCAGGAAGACTGTATCGCTAGATACAAGTTGCTGGTTGAACTGGTCCAAAAGAAAAAACAAGCTAAAAGCTGAGTATTCTGGAAGATGATTTTCACTTTCATTTTCCAAAATGACTATTTTTAAAAGTGTATGCAGAAATTCGCATTTGTACCTCAGTATTTCTATACGTCCATGTGCCTTAGAATAAATAAACAATGAATTGTGCTATATTGCTGAAACCAACATTTTGTTAAAGGGAAACAAGGGAGTTGGGCATTTACCCTCATCTTTCATTAATAACAAAGTTTACTTTCTTGGGGAACAAACTGAATATTGCTTTTCTAACAATTAGGCAAATACATGTTTTTGAAGTGAGTCAAGTTTGAGTGAACTAATTTGTAAGAATTAAGACGTAATATGTTTTAAAGAAACGATGACCAGAGTACACATAAGTGAACATCTCTATTGGGGATTGAGAAACAGGACAAAGTTGCTTGGGGAGAGATAGAAAGAAAAAAAAAGTTGGTGTCAGCTAGCTGGTTAAGAAGAACCATGTGAGGTTACCTTAGCTTTGTGTGTTTAAGAAACAAATGTACATGAATAAGGACATAAGGTAACAAACTTAGTTGAGACTGCTTGGTAGAAGTATTTTCCCAACTGATAGAATTTCCAGAAACCTTGAAGGAAACTTTCTAGGAACTCATGAAATTGGGTCTTATTTTAATGGTGGTGGTGGATGTGTGCCATTGATTCAGTTCTAACTCATAGCAACCCTGTATGGGAATTCTGAGGCTGTAAATCTTTATGGGCATAGAAAGCCTGATCTTTCTCCCACAGAGCGGCTGGTAGATTCGAACTGCTGCCCTTGTAGTTAGCAGCCCAGTTGGTAATCCATTTCGCTACCTAAGTTAAAAATCACTATTTTGAACTGTTTATTTATATTGAACTATTTCTTACTATCTTTGAACTGTCATGGTCACTGGAGCATCTCTTTTAATCGTTTATGACACTGTGGGTTGGAGTCCTGGTGTGGCGCTGTGGGTTAATGCACCAGATTGCAAAGCTGTTTGAACTGCAAGGTCGGCAGTTCAAGCTCACCAGCTGCTCCTCAGAAACCCTATACAGGGCTGCTAGGGGTCAGAACCGACTTGATGGCACTTAACAACAACACAAAATGTCACTGTGGGTTAATGTGCTGGACTGCAAGGTCGGTTTGAACCGCAGGGTCGGAGGTTTGAGCTCATCAGCTGCTCCTCGGAGACCCTACACCAGGTCACTATGAGTTGGAACTGACTCCACGGCTCTTAACAACAATCATTTGTTCAGAGTTTCGAAATTTTTTGATAAGTGCAAATTGCCTAAACTTGAAAAACATTAAGATAAGCAGAACACATGTAGTGGAAATGATTTGATAAAATATCTTGAGTTCTTCCAGTGGGGAAAAAGGGTCCAAAGATGCTAGCAATCTTGTGCTTTCTAGAGTCCTGTGTAAGGAAGTAAGACTCCAGTCATGGTTTCTGCTGATAACTGGCTCTGCCCAACAGCTCATGTAAAAAGAAATCCAAAGGGAATTCTTATCTTTGTCTATGTCTGTCTTCTGGTGACACTGTAGCAGCTGAGGATTTTGTTAAAAAGTAGGAACAATAGTCTGGGGTTGGGAGAGGACTTCATTGCTACTCAGACTCCCATGCACAGGAAGGAGACCCATGGGGCTCAATGTGAGGGGTAGGATGGTCAAGGACACAAAACAGCCTCCAGGAAGAACTCATGATACGAGGGGGAAAACACTGGCCTTACAGCAACACTCATGAAAACCCTACCAGGGTTCCAACCTCCAGCTTAACACACCACAGACACACTCCCCCAAACTCAAGAACCTCTTCCCTATCACTGCCCTTCACCTACCTACACGAGGAAGCTTTCTCTTTGTTCTCACATCTTATGAGGTCCTTAAGCCAGTCCTATTCCCCATCCCTCTTCTCTCCAGAAGTGTTTTGAAGGGAAGAAGTTAACTGTGGATGCATACTGCTATGTCAACTTATCTATGTTACATGAGAACTAAATATGGGCATGATATGTCACAGCAGAAAGGCACTTTCCCAGGCTCCACCTACCACTTGACACCAGAACTGAAGCCCACTGGGCCAGCCCACCAGCTCTTGCAACTTCGTAGATGGACTTGGAACTTAGTTTCGGAAATTGTATTTACTACCTGTAATTGACTTCTTGTGAATAGTCACAATAATGGGCATAAGTTTGTCTTGTGAGAATGGATTTGATATTGGAAATAGCACATTCTGAGGACAGCTTTCCCACTGGCTTCACCAGTGCTCACACGGCTCTGCCCTCACGGTCACCCCTTTGAGGCACCACTGAGTGCAAGGCCCCAGCTATTGCTGCTGAGCACAGTTCCCCCAGACAGACCTCCACTGGAGTCAGACCTCCACTGCCTACCTCAGCAAGTTGTGTGACCTCTGTGGTTGTGTTAATGTGACTGCTTTATCTTCCAGGTCAGACACATTCCCTGGATACAGGAATTTCTACCCTTAGTGCTAGGGGGTGCCCTGGGGAGAAGGTGCACATCCGTTGCTGTGTGGGCCTCACTCAGAGACCCAATCCTGCTGAGTCAGAATTGACTTGATGGCAGTAGATTTGGTTTTGATTTTGGGGTTATTCAGAGAGGGTCAGTGTGGTGTGACAGAACATCCTGAGACTTCACCTCAGATAAAAGGAAACCTAGGACCCAACTCACCTGCTCGTAGCTGAGGTCTCTGAGAAGTTTCCTTAGCTTCTCTTTCCTGACTGTAAAATGCTGATGCTAATGCCCTGGTATTATAGTACATTATGAGTTGGGTTGCTGACCACAAGTTCAGCAGTTCAAGTCCACCAGGTGCTCTGGAGAGAGATGAGGCTTTCTGCTCTTGTAAAGATTTACAACCTGGGAAACCATATAGAGGGTTGCTATGCGTAGGAACTGACTCAAAGGCACACAGCCGCCACCACCAGTGTCCAGGAGGGAGTCCAGGATAATGTGCTGGATTGCAAGGTCAGCTTGAACTGTAAGGTCAGTGGTTCAAATTCACGAGCCACTCTTCGCTATGAATCAGCTCAATAGTACTTAACAACAATAGCAATGGTGACCAAGAACAAGTCGTGGTGTGGTGCTGTGGGATAACCACAAGGTCAGTGATTCAAACCTACTTAGTCCATCCAGTGGTGCTAGGGCCATTGTGAGTTAGACACAACGATGACAACAGGATTCCAAACGACTTCACGGCACTTAACAGCAATATCCAAGAGAAGGCGTCCTGGTGGTGCACTAGTTAAATTTTAACATAAAGGTCACTTCCGTGGTTTAAACTCACCAGCTGCTCTGTGACAGAAAGCTGTAGCAGTGTGCGTCAGTAAAGATTTAGAGCCTTGGAAACCCTATGGGACAATTCTACTCTGTCCTTCAAGATCATTGTTAGAATTGATTCCCCAGCATTGGGTTTGGTTTTGAAGTTTTTTAATGTCTGATAGTAGTGACTACTGCAGTAAAAGTCCTCCGTGGTGGTGGACCCACTGGCCACTGCTGACTGCTCCTCCTTCTTCCCACCACCCGTGGACCTTTCTTCCCTGAGACTGGCATCCAGCCTGCTCTCCAGGTTTTCTTTCTCAGCCATATGGTTGAAGGAATGGATAGAGTTTTATAGTCCAAGACCCACATCTGAATCCTGGATCAAGTCCAGTGACTAAAGAGTGGGCACAGACATGCCAGATGGTGTGATTGCTTGGTGTTAGGTATGTAAGGGGATGAGAGGATGGAGACAGGGCTTCTCTGAAGTCCTCACCCTACTCTAACCTCAGCACAGATCCCAAGAAGCAGGCACGTATTCCTGCTGGAAGCTCTCCGTCTGCCACATGGTGCCTGCTGCCAGACCCTGACAGCTCTAGACTACTTCCTCCCGCCAGGCCAGCCAAGGTCTATACAGGGAACCAAGGTTTAGGTGTCTCCACCAGAGTCTTCCTTGAGGAGACAGTCATTAGGGATTTCAGTTTACTTTCCCAGCTGGGCAAGGTCATAGAGTCACTGTTTAGAACACAGACTGTTATTTGTAGGTACCACTGAGTCGGTTCCAATTCATAGAGACCTTATGTGCGACAAAATGAAACACTGTGGTCCTGTGCTAGCCTCAAAATCGTTACACTTGAGCCCACTGCTGCTGCCACTGTGCTAGCCAGTCTCATTGGGGGGCATCTCCCGCTTTTCCACAGACCCTCCACTTCACCAAGCATGATGTCCTTCTCCAAGGACTGATCCCTCTTGATAAAATGTCTGAAGTATGAGAGACAAAGTCTTACCATCCTGGCCTCTAAGGAGCATTCTGGCTGTATTTCTCTTTCAACGCCAATGTATTTGATTTTCTATTTGTCTATGGTAGTTTCAATATTCTCCGCTAACACCACGAATCAAATACATCAGTTCTTCTACAGTCTTCCTTATTCACTGTCCAATTTTCACATGCATATGAGGCTACTGAAAACACCATGGCTTGGGTCAGGCGAACATTAGTCCTCAAATTGACATCTTTGTTCTTGGACACTTTAAAGCGGTCTTGTGAAGCAGATTTGCCTCATGTAATATGTCATATAATTTCTTGACTGTTGCTTCCCTGAGTGTTTATAGTTAAGTGGTTAAGTACCTGGCTGTTAACTAAAAGGCTGACACTTGGAACCCAAGACATACTCTGCAGGAGGAGGATACAGCAGTCTGCTTCTGTGAAGATTTACAACCTTGGAAACCCTATGAGTTGTACTGAAAACCACAGTTCTGTTCTGCAACACACATGGTCACCATGAGTAAGAATCAAACCGTTTTGTTTTGTCTGGTAGTTAACGGTACGCTTTTGGTGCGTTTCTTGTAGTTGTTGACTTTTGCATTGGTTTATGTTTTTTAATTTAAATATTACAATTTAATTGTTTCTACCCTGTCCTATAAGGAGCTCTGGTAGCGTTGTGGTTACGAATCGGGCCGCAAACCGCAAGGTCAGCAGTTCGAAACTGCCAGCTGTTCCGCGGGAGAAAGATGAGGCGTTCTGCTCCCATGAAGATTTACAGCCTCGGAAACCCTGTGCAGGGTCACTATGAGTCGGAACCGACTCCACGGCACATAACAACAACAAGCCTGTCCTGTAAGGACCCGACCCCTGATAGCATGGTGGATTATGAGTTGGG